GCAGTCTCCCTGCTTCCATCCTGAGCCCTCTAAATTGGTGTTCTCTAGTAATATTTTGTAGGTTTCAAATGTGACATTTTCATGTTTTCAATGCACTAAGAACAAGAGGAGGACCCCAAATAGGCGGCTCCCTGCCTCCATGAACAACTCCCACCAGTGCAATGAGATGGGCAGTCAGATCTCCTGAGGGTTAACGAGAGGCTGGCCTGTTACCAATGGCAGGCAGGCCAGTATGCACTCAGCAGTGGCAGTGGCAGTGAGCTCTCCGAGGTTCTCCACCTTGAGAATTGCCCTCCCCACTCTAATTGAACAAACATGCTTTGACCCACACACAGACGAATCTGCTGGCTTTTCTACTATACACAATGGGACAAGTGATCAACTCAAGGAACATGAGCTCATAGCCTCTCATAACGGGACACCTGAAGAAAACTGCTATGAAACAAAGCCATCAGTAAATGCTTGTGCATACAAATAACATTAAAGTAGACACCAAACTCAACCCACGGCCATTGAGTCAATTCCAACTCATCAAGCCCCTATAGGACAGAGCAGAACTGCCCCCATGGAGTTTCCAAGGCTGTCATCTTTGCCAAAACAGACAGCCACGTCTTTATTCCCTAGCATGGCTGGTGTGCTTGAACCATGAACTTTGTGGTTAGCACCAAGTGCCTTAACCACTGCACTACCAGGTCTCCTCCTGTGAGATATACCAGACACCCACTGCCACTGAGTCAGTTCTGACCTGCCGTGACCCTAAATAGGTTATCCAAGATGAAATCTTTCCGAGAGCAGACAGCCTTTCCTTCTCCTGCAGAGTGGCTGGTGGGTTTGAACGGCAGCCCCTACTGTCAGCAGTCCAAAGCCTAACGCACAGCACAGCCATGACACCTTTCTGTATCACAAGCTGCTGTTCAGTGCCTTCACGTTGGTTCCGACTGGACCCAACACAAAAAATGAAAACCATGCCCACCAGTCCTGTGCCATCCTCAAAACTGCTCATAAGTTTGAGCCCATCGATGCAGCCACTGTGCAAATTCATCTTGTAGAGTAGAGGGTCTTCCTCTTTTTCTCTGCCCTGCTACTTCACCAAGCGTGATGCCCTTCTTCCAGGACTGGTCTTTCCTGACAACATAGAGGAAACGCGTGAAATGAAATCTAAGCCCATAAAGAGCATTCTTCTAAGACATATCTGCCTGTTCTTTTGGCAGTCCAAAGTATTTTCAATATTCTTTGTAGCAGCAGAATTCAAATACATTATTTATTCTTTGTTCTTCCTTCTTTAATGTCCAACTTTCACCGGCAGATGAGGCAACTGAAAGTACCATGGCCTGGATAAGGCCCACCTTAGTTCACAAAGTGAAGTCCCTGAATTTCAACACTTTAAAGAGGTCTTGTGCAGCAGATTTACCCAAAGCAAAGCGTCCTCTGATCTCTTGACTGCTGCCTCCATGAACATTGATTGTGGATCCAATCAAGACAAAATCCTTGACAACTTACATCTTTTCTCCGCTATGGGTCCAGTTATGAGGATTTTGGTCTTCCTTACATTGAATTGTAATCCATACTGAAGGCTCCAATCCTTGATCTTCATCAGCAGTGTTTCAAGTCCTCCTCATTTTCAGCAAAGTTATGTTATCTGTGTATCCCAGGTCACCAATAAGCCTTCCTCCAATCCTGACACCACATTAATCTTCATATAATCCAGCTTCTGTGATTATGTGTTGCATACAGATTGAGTATGCTGAGAAGATGGAACTCTGACACATATCTTTCCAGATTTTACACCTTGCAATAGCCCTTGTTCTGTTCTCACAACTGCTTCCTGATCCACATACAGATTCCAGACTCTGTAGCTCTGAGATTCTCATTGTTCCCTCTATACTATACAGCATACGATAATTTGTAATATAGAAATATATAGCATTCTGAAGCAGAGTTATTACAGTGGATGAACCAAGAACTTGAAATAAATATAAAAATATACTTAAGATAATATTGGCAATGTAAAAAAATAATCTTTTTAAAGAAAAAATGCTACGTATGAAAAAATAACCATTAAAATAAGAAAATAATAAGAGATTGACAAAAAAATAAATAAAAGGGGGGGGTATTGTTTATATCTCCACAGGAGAGGGAGAGAGAGGCCAGACTTCAACCCAATGCACCGATGTGAATACAACATACCGGCATGTACCAGGGAACCAATAGAGAGGTCTGCAGGGCCGGCCCCAATCCTGATTATGTGGACACCCTCACCCCTCAGAAGAATGCACTTCAGAGGACAGCACTGGGGCTACAGCTTGGGGAGAGGGACACATCAGATTAGAGCACATGGGAGAAATGCAAAGGGATGGAGAGGGAGGAGAGGACATCCTGGCCCACCAAGCCTTGAGGACGATGTTCCTGCTCAGAGCAGACAACACACAGGGAGGACCGTAGGGCCGGCCCCACCATGGGACACAGCATCCTTCACTGAACCATGACACTGGGGTGGGGGGTGGGGGGGGCGGAGCACTGGTGACATAGTGCAGGAATACTGCATGGTCTGGCCCCATCACGCTGGGGCGAGGCACTGAGGGCATGCAGCAGAGCAGCAGGGGGAGCAGAGTGATGAAACCCCCAGGGAATACCAAAAATAGACTTGGGAGACAGAATGTGGTACCCTATCAGACTTGACTGGAAAATACTCATAAAGGCCAACAAACAGACCTTGAACTATTTATAGGCTTTTCCATTTTTGTCAGTGGCTTTCTTTTTGTTATTGTCATTTTGTTCTTGCTTTTTGCTGTTGTTATTGTTTTGTTGGTTTTGGCTTCCTTCCTTTGTTGTTTTACTTGGTTTCCTGGTTTTTGCACTTATTAATGTATCTGCACGTCTATCTAGATAAGGTAGGCAGGATAAATAATTCAGAGATGAAAAGAACAGGACCAATAGTTCCAGGGGGGATACGGGAGAAGGGGAGGTATGAGAAAGGAAGGGGGGAGTGTACCAACCCAGGGACACAGGAACAACAAGGGAACTAAAATCAATAGAAGGAAGGTCGTAGGATGCCTAGTATGGCTCAATCAAGGGCAATGTAGCAGTGAGGAATTACTAAACCCAAATGAAGGCAGACCATGATGGTGGGACAAGAAGAAAGTAAAAGGAAATAGAGGAAAGAACCAGGAGGCAAAGGACATTTATAGAGTTCTAAATACAGGCATGTACATATGTAAATATATTTATATATAACGATAGGGAAATAGATCTATGTACTCATCTATATTAAGATTGCAGATGGACATTGGGCCTCAACTCAACTACTCCCTTAACAGAAGGACACTTTAACAATCCGGCACTCTGTGATGCTCACCTTCCCAACACAATCACTGAAGACAAAATGGATGCATAAGCAAATGTGGTGAAGAAAGCTGATGGTGCCCAGCTATCAAAAGATACAGCATTTGGGGTCTTAAAGTCTTGAAGAAAAACAAGCGGCCAGCTAGCTGAGAAGCAACAAAGCCCACATGGAAGAAGCACACCAGCCTGTGTGATCATGTGGTATCAATGGGATCAGGGATCAGGCTTCTAAGACCCAGAATAAAACCATACCCAAAGAATGGGGGAGTGGGGAGGACATGGAGTGAAGACCGAATACCCATCTGTAGACAATTGGACATCCCCTCACAGAGAGGTCACAGGGAAGAGATGAGCCAGTCAGGGTGCAATATAGCACCGATGAAACACACAACTTTCCTCCAGCTCTTTGGTGCTTCCTTCACCCCACTATCATGACCTCAATTCTACCTTACAAATTGTGTTAGGCAAGAGCATGAACACTGCTAGAGATAAGAGCCCGAAACACAGGGAATCGGGGATAGATAAAGCCCTCAGGGCCAACAAGGAGAGTAGAGATACCAGGAGGATTAGGGGAAGGTGGGGGGAGAAAGGGAGAACTGATCACAAGGATCAAACTAGAGCCCCCTCCCAGGGGAACAAATAATGGAAAAGTGGGTGAGGGGCGATGGAGGACGAAAAAAGGTATGGAAAAAATAATCTATAACTTGTCAAGGGTTCATGAGGGAGGGAGGGCTGGGGGGGAGGGGGATGAAATGGGGAGCTGATATCAGGGGCTCAAGTGGGAAGAGAATGCTTTGAAAATGATGATGGTGGCATTATATGCAAATGTGCTTGACACACTGGAGGAATGTATGGATTGTGATAAGAGATGTAAGAGCCCCCAATGAAAGTATTTAAAAAAAAAAAACAACAGGGAAAAAATCTAGTAAAGAATTAATTGGTGCAAAGTAAGATCAAAACGAGATACTGTACTAGGAGGAAAATGTAAGGTGATAGAAAGCATAAAACAAGACTTAAGAGTAGATTGGGTTGATTTTGGCAAATGAGTTTCCAAAAACTAAAGGAAGATGAGAAAACTCAGACTCAAAGGCCTCAAATAATGCAGTGTCTCCAGACATAAATTTAAGAGATATTACAGTGACAATGAACATACATAATACTTGAAAATATTTGCTCATGTTCAAAACAGTCTGTATCCTTTATCCTAAAAAACTATTTTGGACCTTACTATTTGGATTGAACTTTTACGCGTCACTCCGTTGTCTTAGGGCACCAGAAGTAAACATTTTTAGAAAAATAATTGAGTCTTCCATTTTAAAAGTCCAAGAGGAAAAAAGAAATGAAAAACCAAAATGGATAAAGAAAAGACAGAAAGGAGGGAAGAAGAAAAGAAAGTATCTCTGGATTAACAGGCATTAACATGTGACAAAAATGTATGAAGGCCTCTAGGGGTGAAAAAACAGAAAAATACAGAAAGAGCATCACAGAACCCAGGGTCAATCCCCACCCCACCTCCCAAATTACAGGTGAGCAGACCTATATCAAGCAAGGAGGTAGACGTTTTGCCATTCTGTTACACATTTATTTGTATACTGCATACTTCAGGAGACACAGAGCACAGTTTCTAAAACCGGGAAGACAAGAACTCCAAGACTTACCGTGGCCTGTGTTTGCGCCAAGTATTCACCCTCCATCTTATTCAGACGTAAGTTCGTGTCCTCAAGCAATTCTTGAATATTTTCCGTGTGTTTCTTCTGAAGATCAAACTTTTCCTTTTCCATGTCTGCTACTGCCCCATGCAGCTACACGATGAAATACAAAGTGATGTCATCATCACTAGGGAATACGCTATAAAAATATCGTTTCCTCTATTCCTGTGCCTATCTGTATGGCAACCAGAATCCCCAAAGCTCTAAAACTCACAAGGAAACATTCAAAGTAAAGATGTCATTTGAAATACATGCTTAAGGAATGCTTTGTTGTGTGTCTTAACTTTCCTGAATTACAAAATTTAATGGATGAACAAACAGTTGGAAGAAAATAATCTGTCCAGGTGGAAACAGTAATTTCCTCATGTAAACACGGATGCCGCAGCCATATGCGTGTGTGTGTGTGTGTGTGTGTATAATGTTGTTGATTCACAATATCGTTTCAATGTCTATGTCACTCATTCACATGGCATTCTACACGTGAGTAATGCTAACACTTGCATTCACTTCCACCCTAACCCAGCCTCAAAAAGAACAGCCACTTCATACTACACGCTCAGTGGCAACAGAGGGTGCATCTATAAATCCAAGAGTGAATAAGTAGGAAGACAAAGAACAGTACATGTGTCCCCATGTACACACACCTTTATGTATAGGGATGATTATGATTATGCACCGCATAAGTGGATGGACCTTTAAAATATATACCATCTGCAACCTACGATAAAGGATGCAAAGAAGCAGATCTGGGAGGTTGAGAAAAAAGTCAATGGACGATGTCCAAAGGTGAGTGCGCATCAGGCTCCCCGCCGGCATGCCTACATCACTTGTCTAAAAGGAGTGGGATTTTGCTTCCAAGTCATTTTCTGCATCTAACCCAGGCTAGTCAAGCAGTGGGGAGGGAAAGAGCCCAATGTCGTATAATTGACATACTTGATTGCTTAACCATGAACAGGGTAGGGAGTCAAGGGTAGGACACATACAGCATAGACCAGGGGTCCTCAAACTTTTTAAACAGGGGGCCAGTTCACTGTCCCTCAGACCCGTTGGAGGCTCGGACTATAGCTTAAAAAAAAAAAACTATGAACAAATTCCTATATACACTGCACATATCTTATTTTGAAGTAAAAAACAAAACGGGGCAAAAACACCCAGCGGCCCAGATAAATGTCCTCGGCAGGCCGTAGTTTGAGGACCCCTGGCATAGACTCTTTTTTTTTTTTAAATCATTTTATTGGGGGCTCGTACAACTCAACACAATCCATCCATCCATCCATTGTGCATAGACTCTTATTTAATAAGAAGCTATGATAGCGGAACAAGGACGACTCTAAAGCAGGTTTGAGGATAGGTCCGGCCCTCAGGCCGTATAAGGCCCCCAAATCATCAAGACCAGGCAACCTCCCAGGCCTCACAAAGGAGCAGCATTTCCAGTCATCACATTCACACCCACTGCCTTCGAGTCAATTCCGACTTTTCAGTGACCTTATAGGACAGGGTAGAACTGCCCCTCAGGGTCTCTAATACTGTAACTCTTGACAGAGTAGAAAACCTCATCTTTCTCCTGAGGAGTGGCTGGTGGTTTTGAACTGCTGACCTTGTGATTAGTAGTCCAATGCATAGCCACTATGTCACCAGAGCTCCTCGCGTGAGGGGTGAGTTAGTTAAATGTTTGACCAGAATGGCCTGCGAATGGGGTTAGAAATGTCCCAAAGGCCAGTGGCAGGTAAAAAGGCTCCCCACCCGTGTTCCAAGTCCTGTGGGAACAGGAGGCAGAATGGAGGCCAGAAGAGCAGTGGCTGGGAGAAAGGGGTCCACGAATGTTTCTTCCAGTTTCCGGGGACAAGAAGAGTGAGGAGGGCTCAGGAAAAGATGTAGAAAAGGCTCTTCGGTGTTGAACACGTAGCATGTGCCGTTTTAGCTCTTTGTAAGATATGGGGGTAGATTTATATTTTTATCATAGTGCATATTTTAAACTGGTATTATCTCTGGCACTCCAAAGTCAGTTACCTAGCAGACGTGTCCGTCCACTGCACCCACTGCTTAACAGTTGTTGACTGACGTAGGAGAGAGCTTCAAAAGATTTGTGGAAAACAGAACGAAGAGATAATGTCACTTTTCCATGAACTCTCTGAGGCCCCTCACCAGGGTTACTCTGACAGAGACATGAAGGAGCCAACTTGAATTGTGCTGCTGTGGATGCCTGGGGTTGGAGGTCTCCCTCAAGCTCTGAAGACGTGTGCCTGCGGAATGGCTTTGGGAGCCCAAGAGCACACAGTGCTTTCTGGGGAGTATCTTTCCACTGCTTTACAAAGGGCAGTGCCTTGGGGAGGGTTCTATTAGTCACCCCAAGCCGATTAAAAGTCCATGGTGCACACAGGTGCATAATCGCAGTGTGATTGGCGAGATCCAGAAAGTGGGATTAGCCCAACTACGTCTCAAGGAATGGGACAGCCCCTCGGGAACACAGGTTGGAGGGTCCTCAGAAAGCTAAACATACAGCTGCCACATGATCCAGCCATCCATTCCTAGGTATAGAGCCAAAAGGATGGAAGACGTCAACACCAACAAGTACATGCATGTTCACCAATGCTCATTGTACAAAATGGGGTTTTCTTTCTTAAAAACAAACATTGCATTGTACATTGTGTTCAAGTTTACACAACACATTGGGTTCTCATTTAACAACTAACTCTCCTGCGTGTTGTTCCAGGGACGATGGTTACATTTCCCACCGTATGTCAGCAGTCTTCTTATATCCATTCTGGCCGTTCTGTGCCCATTAACCTAGTGTTATGGACCCTATGCACCTTTCCTTCTCCCATCTCTGGTCCAGGGCAGATGTCTGCTGTTCGGTTTCATTTAGATGATTATTAAGAGAAGCAGACTCGTGGGTGATAGTTACTTGTTCCATCCAGTGACACCAGTTATGTTCATCATGTTATACCATCATTACAGCTACCCTAGCCCACGGGATTCCACCGCCAGCCACAGAAATGTAGTACACACTACGCAATAATACATTGTAGGTTATTTTTATTTTATTTTTTCATCCTTCTCTGTATTTTTATAATTTTTCTTTTTTTTTCTTTGAAGAACCTGATAGCTTCCACTTCTTTTTGCTATTATTTCTTGACCTCGCAAGGCTTACCTTTTTTTCCCAGTTGTTATTCAGACTCTCGGCACTTTGCTCACATATCTTTTTTAGCTCGGATATCTGGTTTTCTTTAGTCTCTCTGATGACCTGACAGTCACGTATCAGGGTCTGAACTGTCAAAAATGATGAAAACAAAGTTAAACCAATTCTACATAGACACCACATAAGAGCTTAATTATGCAAATTACAGTCCAAGAAGCTAATAGAGGATTCCTTTTTCCCCAGGTCTTCTCAATTCTCTCTTCTCCAACATCTCTTTTCCTTCCGCATCTCTCCACCCCGCCTCCAGTCATTACTCACTCCCAGACACTCTTCCCTGTGAGCTAGTCTCAAGTTCCATCCCTTTCCATTGCTTGAACAGACCTTGCTACAGTGCAGACACAACTATGCTACTCCCAGGCTTAACATCGTTCTGATCCCTTGAACCCAGTGGTTCTCAACCTGTGGGTCATGACCCCCTTTGCGGGCTAAACGACCCTTTCACAGGGGACACCCAATTCATAGAGTAGCAAAGTGACAGTTATGAAGTAGCAACAACAATAATGTTATGGTTGGGGGTTCACAACATGAGGAGCTGTATTAGAGGGCCACGGCATTGGGAAGACTGAGAAGCACTGCTCTAACCACAAAGTCTGACAAGGACACTAGCTCCTTGGCGTCCAGCTACTCTCTGGTCACAGCTCTTGACACTTCCAAACCTAACAGCTGCAATGTACACACACCGGCCATCGGCTGGCTCCTGAGGACATATTCTTTCACTGCCTGCACCACTACCTACATTGGGCTGCTAACCACAAGGTCAGCTCTTCAGACCAGCCAGCTACTCTGCGGGAGGAAAGTGAGGCTGCCTGCTCGTGTGTGTATGTTTTCAAAATCAACTCAGTGATAGCGGGTCTGGTTTTTGTTGTTGTGTTAAGTCTGATCACCCCTCTGTTGGAATACCACCCCTTCTCTGGACGAAAATGTCTTATTCATTCTTGAAGTCTCAATTCAAGTAGCACATCGTTGATGAACCATTCACCAACTGTATTCTCACATCCACCCCTTTTAGGGAGAGAAAGAAATTATCCTCTTTATCCTCAAAAGCCATCCCTATGCCTGGCCCCCTCCCAAAAAACCCAAACCCATTGCCATCAAGTCACTCCTGAGTCACAGTGACCCTACAGACAGACAGAGTAGAACAGGGCCAGCAGAGTGCTAAGGTTTACACCTTTATGGAGGCAGTCTACCACATCTTTCTACAGCACAGGGGCTGGTGGGCTCCAACCATCAACCTTTCAGTTCACAGCGGAACACATAACCACCATGCCACTCTCTCCAGTACATCTCTCCGTTCAATCACATATTACATTATTTGTTATGAGTGTTTGCTCACCTATTTCCTCTGTAAGATTATGCTCACTGTGGACAAAGGCATTTCAACTTTTTATCTGCAAGGCCACACAGGCAAGTGCTCAAACGGTTGTGTATGAAAGGAATCAATCAAAGAGCTCATCAATTCAATACACTGTTGCTGCTAGATACTTGAAAACCATTTCCACAGTTGGTGTTGCTTAAATGAAATGTGTTTTAAATTACATAAAATATTTCCCTCATCACATTTAAATTTCTATCTTCTCTTCACAAAGTAAGCTGCCCCTGTCACAGTCATGCCATCTGGATAGTTAAGATAAGTTCAGCTGAATGTTTGGCTTGAGTCTAATATTTCCTTAGCTTACCAAATATGCTCTTATTCATGGACTTCGAGATTGCAATTTTCATAAACATTTCCATGGAAATGCCTTTCACTCTTACTCCTCAACCATGCCACGAGGTAGAGAAGCAGGCGGAGAGGATCCCAGTTAATGAAGTCTTAGTCTTTACCACCTATAACCCTTTTAACCACGTGAGGCAAAAATTAAACGAGGACCTGTTCACAATTCAAGAAGCCTTAATAGTCATTATTTTTAAGCCCTTTGCATATTTATTGCCTGGTTCGAATCAGGGTAAAAAATTAAAACCTTGGACCCAATTTGAAACGGGTAATATTTGGAGAAAGAATTAGAAGAAATTTCAAGTTATTTTTATCAACATTTAAAACTGGGTTTAAACATACAAATATTAGTTAACATACATACAACTTCCATCCTAAATTCATAAAGTATTTATGTACTCTGACATAGCCGAGTTTGATGATTTAGAAAGGAGGCATTAAGCATCATTTGGTAACCCCTAAACAAAACTGTCCACTCTCCCGCCCCCTTTATTTGTTGTATTCATATAAAACTCACTGCTCGAACATCTTTAGCTTATCAATTAATTCCACTGTTCTAAATCTAAAATTCAAGGCTAGGCCTAATCTATCTCCAAGTCCCCATCATTTTCTCCCTCATAAAGGATGGGGGATCTTCTGCGACATCCTTCCCACAAATCACTATTATCAACATTTCTACCTCAGTATCTGACACCCTCCTTTCCAGCTACTCAACTCTTACACATCTCTTGAAAGTCTTTTCTCCAAAAAATATTGGCAATACTCTCGATCGTGACTGCCTATGCATTGACATGATCTGACCCCTTGATCACATTCATTTGATCGGTGTTTTCTTTTCTTTCTTAACAAGAGGTGTTTTTTTTTTTTTAATGAAAACAAAAAGGAAAAGAATATTTTCAAAGAGTTTTTTTACATCAATCACAAGGCCAGCAGCTATTGTGTATCGAAGAGCAGGTACTTAATGTAAGGAACATACTACACACAGAGCCTTGACTTACATAGCCTTCCTTGTGGAAGCCAATAAACCTAGTCCCAGGTCTAGTCAACAAGGCAGGAAAGAGCTAAGTAGTGGGAGTAACTGTGGCACACTCTACCAACTCTTTCACCAAACCAACTAGCACAACCACCTCACCACTGCTGCAACACATACATACACATGTGTGCACGCACCCCTACACACAGGCGCATGTGCACCTGTGCACACATGGGAATGCACACAGTTTATCCCCATTCATTCATTTAAAAGTAAGGAAACCTCTATGAACTCATCCATTGATGGAAGCCTACTTAAACACTCCCAAGCTCATGCTATGAAACCCCAGACATGACGTGTTAGTAACAAGAGCCAGTAGATAAAATTAAGATGCTGTGAGGGGAGGGTGGGGGGAGAAGGGGAGAAGCAATCACAAGAATCAACCTAGAACCCCCTCCCAGGGGGACAAATAACGGAAAAGTGGGTGAGGGGTGATGGGAGGATGATGTAAGATATGGAAAAAATAATCTATAACTTACCAAGGGTTCATGAGGGAGAGTGGGGGGGGGGGGGAAGAAATGGGGAACAGATATCAGGGGCTCAAGTGGAAAGAGAATGCTTTGAAAATGATGATGGCTGCATATGTGCAAACATGCTTGACACACTGGAGGAATGTATGGGTTGTTATAAGAGATGTAAAAGCCCCCAATAAAAGTATTAAAAAAAAACCAAGATGCTGTGAACCGGTTGGCATAACCACACATCACCTTTCTTTTCAAGCTTCCTAATGGTCTCCTCAGTTTCATTTTGCTTTGTTTTGTACAGAGTTTTCATTTCTTCAAGTTCATGATTCTTTCTGTCTAAAATCTGCCAATAAATAGAAAAATCGTTTAGTCCGCAGTATTGCTGAAGTGTGAAACACACACCTCTCGTAGCGAGGCACTATCTTTTCTGCACGTTGGTCTTGGCGAACCCCATAAGCGTTTCCCACAAGAGTTGGGGAAAGGTTATTTCCATACACTCTGAAAGTGATTATATGTACTAGAAGGATTGATTATCTGAAAGAAACATTCTCTGCTTTGAATTTTCATGTCTAAATTTTTAAGGAGTCTATAAATAATAAATTAGGCGACTCTCTGAAACACAGTGCGGAGACTGAACTGTCATAAACTCGCAGAGGGAAGCCATCAGAGGCTTGACATGCTGGGACAGCAGTGCTCACATCCCCACTGTCTAGGAATAGAACATTTTTTCAGGTAAGCCTATCCGGGATCGCCCCCACCCAGGCCCTCCTGTCTTTTATAGTCACAGGACTGACTGCCCAGGTGCGTGGACACATGACATTTATCAGGCTTCTTTGGTATCTTGCTCTGCTAGCATGAATTGGAAACATCAGCTAGGAAGATGTCAAAAATCTCACAAATACTTAACATCACTAATTTATATGGTGTCAGAAGTTTACATTTTAATAATTCAGTACAATTTTATCAGGATTTTGGCCTTTGAAATACATCTACACTCAAAAAAAAGAAAAACCCCAGAAAAGAAAAGAAAAATCAAAATATAGCAAGCTTCAAAGGGGACAGGGGGAAGGTGCTAACTAAGGGGGCAAAAAGAAAATCAAATTGAGAAATGAATAGAACTATCAACTTCTCCTACAGTTGGGAGATATGTCCTTAACACTCAAAGTCAACTAAACCAAAAAAGTTATTCAGAGGTCTAACCAGCTTTTTCTTAATGCTTAAAAAAAAACAAAAACAAAAACCCAAACCAGCATTCTACTGTATTTTCATTGTTTTACTCCCACCTCTGTGATAAATAAGATAGCATCCACACCAAATTAAGAGACCCAAGCCCAGAGTCAATGCCAGTTCATAGTGACCCTACAGGCGGCTGGGTTCCCGGGCAGCATCTTTATGGAAGCGGACTGCCACTGTCTTCTGTGGAGCTGCCGGTGGAGTCGCACCACTGCCCCTTCTGTTAGCAGCCAAGCACTTCACCGGGCTGCCACCAGGGCTCCTTGTAGTGCCATGAAGAAGCAACACAGGAAGATCATGCACTAACTTAGATAAGCATAGTAAATTTGATTCCCTCTCAAATGCCTGACACGTAGAAAATGACATACAAGTAACAAACTGATGGGCATAATTTCCTAATATGGCAGAAGGCCAAGGGGTTTATTGATATTTTACCTGTTACTGCCAACCACTGCATTCATGAATGTACTTGGGAAATAAATGCATGAATTTTTAATGATTAATTATTTTCTTTGCATATGTATGAGCAACAGAAACCCCAAGGTTGTTTTTTTTCAACACTATTACCAGGAATTTTTTCCTAATAAGAGAATACTGTACATCAAAAGTTAGCACTACTATGGCTCCAGTTTATACATGCACCCGTTTCTTCCCAGTAAAGTGTGTCTAACAATATGTCTGCAATGAGGGGGTGACTGCAGACAAGTTCTCCTAGTAATACACTTGCCCCAGTTATGTTAGGGTGCCTTAAAGAAAAGACCAATCAAAATAGTAGTGTGGGTCAGTTACAGTTGAAGCAGAGAGGTCAGCTCAGAAGGGTATGGTGAAGGGTTTTTGAATTCCAAAGGGATAAACTTGATTTTCCCAGAGGACACAGGACAATCATGGGGGCTTATTAGGAAGAAGAAGTTTTCAGAAATCAGAAAACGGAATTGGTGAGAAAAAGCCCAGGAAAGTTGTGATAAGAAATAGCACCCACGTGACAGTGCGCCTGCTCGTTCTTCATGGGACCAGGGCTCTCCCACCAGAACATCCTTGAGAAACCACCCACCCACCCTGTAGCCCTGCAAGAATCTTGCCCCTTCAGGTTTCGTTTTGTTTCCCAAACTCAAAGAACTTGAAAAAAAGACCGTTTGAGTCCCTCATGGATGCCAACACAGTTGCTCTGAAAGGGTGCTTGAGTAAATTGAAGAGCGGAGAACTTGGGGGCAAGGGTTAGAGGTTTGGAAAGATCGCCACTGAAAGGACGCAGACAGACTTGAGAGATGTATGATGAGAAACCAGCGGATTCCCATTTCAACAGTTTTGCTTTTAAAAGGTACCTGTAATTTTGTAGTAATATTTTTTTAATTACCATCACACATCTTGCATTCTTATTTACCATTCTAATTTTCTAATTTTCTTGGACATGAAATTATAATGACGGGATCTAACATTTATGATAGAGAACTGCTACAGTAAAATTCTAGTAAGGCAAAAAGGAATAAAAACCATTAAAATTTGAATGGGAGAGTGAGGAAGAAGGAAAGAGGATAAATAGGCCCTATCTCTAATTTTCAATCGATGGTTGGATTATTGCTTGGAAAGAAGATGAGCTAGGCATGCACTAAGTACTAATCTCTTTTTACACAAACTTTGCTCTGCGGCTGTCTCCATCTCTGTGACTCCATTTGGGGACACAGAATCATATGTTTAGTTGTGAAACAGTAAGGCCATTTCAAATCGAATCAACCTTCATTTGCTGAAATGTACACAATCATTGTATCAGTTAATCGTTTCTAAACAAGATTATCAAATCAAATCCCATGTAAGATAACTGTGAATTGAGGGCATCTCGTTGCTCTGCTAGTTAAGAAGAAAAATATATGGTACTTAAAAATCAAGACTGAAACACATCCCAATGAGCTTATTAAGACAGAAGCCTACATTATTGGGCGTAGCCCTAGAATACAGGCAGTCTACACTGAACTAGAGCTGGGTGTTCTTTCTGAAATTACCAAGGAAATTTCAAGTGGTACAAAACCGAAAGACTATTAGGCCAAACTAATTTTGATATTTACAGCTGATGTCTCAGCTCATTTTCACCAAAGACAATGGCAGAATACAGATAAAGGATGATAAAAGTAGCCATCTTTAAAGCAATAATCAAAGAATTAAAAGGCAATATAAACCATGAGCTTAAAGATAAACTTTGGCTGGAGTATTACTTTAGCAAATCCCACTGGTAACACAGACTATCATGAAGCACATAAATAAATGGATAAATACAAGAACTAGAATATTTTAGATATTCAAATTAAAGGAGTAAATGATATGCACTTTACCTTCTGAACATCAGTATCATGTTTCTGCTGTAGCTTAAGCTTCTCTTCATGGAACTTAGCTTCCACTATTTTTGTCTTCATATCCAACTTCAAAGAAAATATTTTAAAAGTACTATTAATCAAACTTTCCCCTGGGCAAGAATTTACAATTAAATTTAAACAACTCCTTATTTGAAAGAGAATATCATTTTCTACTTCTACTTGGTAACTACAAGTTATAGCAATCTCATTACATATACCACCAACATGATTGTTATTTTATTTCAGGTATTTGGAAACTAATTGAAAGCCTTCAAATTCAACCTCGCTTGGTTCCCAAAACTGACACTGCTAAGTACACATTCATCAGTTCCCTCATCCCTACCCGCCTCTGAAAAAGGGCATCTTTTAGCAAGTTTTAACTTCAATTTTTAAATGGTATTCATTTAAAAATACGTTTAAATATTTGTCTATGTACTTAAATATGACAATGTATTGTGAACACCCATAAATATGGCAAATGACCATCAATGCACATCTCTCTACTGTCCAGTCCTTCCCGCCCCCCGTCGCCCCCCAACAATTGTGAGACCCAGATTCTTTCTGGGCAATGACCTTATCACTTTCACAGCATTCATCAACAACTCCCAGTCTGCTTGTCCCAACAGGACACATAGTATTCCAAGCATAACGAGAATGGAACCCAAGCTTGAGAACGATAAAAAGTGCATCCGAGGATGAGATTTTTTAAAGGTCTCAGGCAGCATATTTGCCCAGTGCAATCCATCGTTTGATTTCTTGACTGCTGCTTTCATGAGCATTGGCTGTGGATCCGTGCAAGATGAAATCCTTGACAAGTTCCATCTTTTCTGCCTTTATCTATTGATCCAGTTGTGAGGATGCTGGGTTGGTTTACACTGAGTTATAATCCATACTGAAAGCTGAAGTGCCTGATCATCAGCAAGTGCCTCAAGTCCTCCTCACTTCAGCAAGCAAGGTTGTGTCATCTGCATATTGCAGTGTGTCAATAAGCCTTCCGCCAGTCCTGATACCAAGCACTTCTTCATGAAGTCCAGCTTCTCAGATGACTGGTTCAGCATATAGGTTTGTTCAGTATATGGTGAAAGGATACAGTCCTGACGCACAATGTTCTTGATTCTAAACCACACTGTATTCCTTTCTTCTAGTTGAATGAGGCCTCTTGGTCCATCTACAAATTCCACATGAGCACAAAGAATGGTTCTGGAATTCCCATTCTTCTCAAGGCTGTCACCAGTTTGTTATGATCCACAGAGTCAAATGGCTTTGCAGAGTCAACAAAACACAAACATCTTTCTAGTATTTTCTGCTTCCGATCCATGTGACCCAGGATGATATCCCCTGTGCCATGTCCTCTTCTGAATCCACTTTAAATTTTGGCAGCTCCCTATCAGTTTACTACTGTACCGGTTATTGACTTATCTTCAGCAAAATATTGTTATTTAATTTCCACATACTGTTGGGTCCCCTTCCTTTGATACGGGTACAAATATGGATTTCTTTCAGCCAGTGGGCCAAGTAGCTATCTTCCAAATTTCTTGGCATAGACAAGTGAATGCTTCCAGTGCTTCATCAGCGTATTAAAACATTTCAGTTGGCATTCTATCGGTTCGTAGAACCTTGTTTGGGGCTAATCCCTTCAGGACAGCTTGGACTTCTTCCTTCAGTAGCACTGGTTGCTAAGCATATGTGCAACCTCTTGAAACGGTTGAATGTCAACTCTTCATAGAGCATTATGGGATGCAAATTAAAACAAGATACGAGCAGTCACCTATAAGACTGGCTAAAATCCAAGCCACTGACAACATAAAATGTTGACAAGGATGAGATGTAACAGAAACTCTCATTCATTGTTGATGGGAATGTAAAGTAGTACAACTACATAGAAATCAGTTTAGTGTTCCATCCGAGAAAAAATGAAAATATAAACCAAAACAAATGAACAAAAAATCTTGTACACCAGTTTTTAGAGCAGTCTTATTTATAATAACCCAAACTAGAAAACAAACTACAAATGGATTAATAAAGTTTAAAATTACGGCATGTTCAGAATGTCAAATACATTGCATTGAGGATAACAAGCCAGACACAAAGGAGTAAATAATTTATGACTCCACTTATGTTTAATTTATTCTTCTTGAAAACAATTTCATAAACACTTTCCTGTGTCATCCACTTCTACAAAGACTACTTCATTTTTCTAATTTGGGTCAATTACATCTTAACAATAGTCAACATGGAACATTAAAAATCCACAGCCCTCTCCCACTTAAATTTTTAAGAGCCTCTTCCAGGTGAAAGAAAACAGGAAGTAGCTATATGGAAAAAAGTATGCTTAATAAAGATAACCCCATACAAATAGTGGCTGAAAATATCACAGGCACTGAATTGTATCTTCAGAGTCTTAACTTGGACTTTTAAAATGACATCATCTCTGAGAATAGTGCACAGACTAGGGGGGAAATTAATAGATAAGGCCACTATGTTTCATTCACCCATAATAAGCACATGCTTTTAAAACACATTATGGTTCAGCTTTTATCCTCATAAAGGCTTCTTTTAATTTTTTAATTTTTAATGAAAGGCTCTGCATTTTCCAGCCACTACATGTCTGTCAGTTTGTCATACTGTGAAGGCTTGCATGCTGTGGTGATGCTGGAAGCCGTGCCAATGGTGTTTGAAATACCAGTTGGGCCCCCATGGAACACAGGTATAAGCAGATCTTCCAGACTAAGACAGCCTAGAATGGAATAACTAGTGCTGTACTTACCTTTTTTCTTTTTTTTCAACAGCTGGTGAAAACTCAAGAATCACAGCAGAACACTAGCTAATATCAGGTCAGAAGATATGTGCCTCAGGGTGGAAAACACTTAACACTTGACTGAGGAAGAGCTGCCTCCTCAAAACAGTCAACTTAATACTGTAAATGGGTTAAAGCTTTGGGAACCTTCATTTGACAATGTGAAACAACTCAAAATAGCAATAAACATCCAATTAATAATTGCAACGTGGTATTTTGAAGTATGAATTTATAAAAACACTGGTAGTTGTCAAAATATAAAAGGGAATTCTAGGCATGAGTGAGCTGAAATGGACTGGTGTTGACTATTCTGAATCAGGCAAGCCTACGGTCTCAGATGCCAAGAATGACAAATAATGATTTGGTCACATTTATCACCAAAAAACATGTCAAGCTCTATCCTGAAGAATAAAGCTCTCAATGATAGGATAATATTCAAATGTCTACAAGGAAGACCAGTTACTACAACTATTCCTCAAAATTATGCACCAATCATTAATGGCAAAAATGAAAACACTTAAGATTTCGACCAATTTCTGCAGTCTAAAATTGATCAAACATGCAATTGAGATGCATCGATAATTAGTGGTAATTGGAATGTGCAAGTAAGAAATAAGCCTATCACTAACAGTCATAGAGTTGATTCAGAATCATGGCCACCCTTTGGGTTTCCCAGGCAGTGAATCTTTATTAGAACAGCAAGCAAGCCTCATCTTTCCCATGTATCCATAGGTGGGTAAGAACTGTTGAATTTGCAGTTAGCAGCCCACTGTGTAATCCACCACACCACCAAAACTCCTCTAAAAAAGTATCCGAAGTTGGAAAATAAGGCTTTGGTAATACAAATAACTTTGGAGACCACATGATAGAATATGCAAGACCAATGACCTTGTAGTTGCCAACACCTGGTATGAACAATATAAATGGTAAATATACAATTAATCTAGTCAGAGAGAATACGTAAGAATCAAATTGACAACATCTACAGAAAGCGGCTAAACAAAAGTTCCGTATCATCGTCAGAAGAGGCCAAGGACAACTGCGAAACAGATCATCAATTGCTCATGTGCAAGTCAGAACAGAAGCTGCAGTTTTTTGGTTTTGTCTACTTATTGCAGGTTTTTTGTGTGTTTGATCTGTATGGTTTTGTATGATAGTGTGTGTTTTTTTAAGATTTCCTGTATGTGAAATCCAGGATAGGTCGGTCTACAGAGACAGTGTCTGGTTAGGGGCATGGCAAGGGGAGGGTGGAGACCTAACATGAATAAGTATGAAAAACAATTTTTCTGAAATTGATTGTGGTGTTAATCACACAAACCTTCTTAATACAACTGATTACATTGTGTTCTATGTGAAGTATATGCCAATAAACCCGTTGTGCTTTTTTTGATGACAAGAGAGACCAAAATGAACATCAGAAGAAATGCTGAAACATGCTCTTGAACTTGTTGCTGTTGGTGTTACTAAACTCACTGCCATCAAGTCCATGTGGACTAAACGCGACCTCCTGTGGGTTTCTGAAACTGTTTAACTGTTTAGGGGAGTAGAAAGTCCAGTCTTTCTCCTGCGGAACTGCTGGTGGTTTTGAACTGCCAACCATGTAGATCGCAGCCCAACGTGTAACCATTACACCACCATGGCTCTGCTGTTAGGTGGCATCAAGTCAGTTCTGACTCACAGTGACACTATGTGCAACACAAACACTGCCATGCCCCGTCCTGTGCCACCCTCACAACTGTTCTTATGTTTGAGCCCACCGATGCAGTCAGTGTCAAGCCATGTTGTTGAAGGCTTCTTCTTTTTCACCGCCCTGCTACTTTTACCAAGCATAATATCCTTCTCCAAGGACTGGTCTCTCCTGACAATATGTCAAAGTACGCTAGACAAAGTCTCACCATCTTTGCCTCTAAGGAGCATTCTGACTGTAATTTTTCCAAGACAGATTTATTTACTCTTTTGGCAGTCCATGATTCTTTCAATATTCTTCACCAGCACCACAATTCAAATGAATATGAGGCAACTGAAAATACCATGCTTTGAGTCAGTCTTACCTTAGTCGGCACAGTAGCCTCCTTGCTTTTCAACACTTTAAAGAGGTCTTGTGCAGGAGAGTTACCCAATGTGGCACAACCCTTGAACTTAAGAGTAACTAAAGTAAAAGGAAGAAATCTTGAAATAGAAGAGCTTAACAGAACATTTGAAAATCCAGCTCAAGAAGACATTTATTGAAATGTGCAAAGACCATGAGTTAGAAAACCAAAAGGGAAGA